GGAGTAATCTTCCTGTGTTAGTTATCTTTTACTGTGTGCCAAATCACCACAACACTTAGTGGCATACAGTATTTCAAAGAGTAGTGGATCAAGCATCTGTGTGTCCATTTCCCAAAGGGGATTTATTTACTGTTGCTCCCCAAAAAGGAGGTAAAAAGGAACTTAACTGTTTGCATTGTCTTGAGCAGTGTTTCTCAAACTATCTGTAGTGAGGGACCAGGTTTTAAAAGTTTTTCTTTCCCTTTGTTGCTGACCAATCTGGAGTCCTGTTCCACCTACCGAGGATGCAGCTTGCACTTCCTGTGACCCACCGTGCTGGTTTGACAGCACTCCAGCTGGCTTATGTTCTGTTTAAAGGAAGGGTTTCCTCATCCTGGACTTGATTGTTGAGCCGTGTTGAATTGCTGTGAGTTCTAACCCTTACTCTGTTTCTGAGCTTACTTTGTCACAGATGGGTAACAAACAGTGGTTGGCCCCAGCCCACAGACCACACTTTAGAATCACCACTCCAGAGGAGACCTCTCTTTTGGCAAAGTCACTAAACCATAGATAAGGAGACTTTTATGGGCACAGCGTGAAATAATGATTGCTGCTAAAGGGTCACAAATTAGAACAATAGTTTGGGATGAGTTACCAGCTTTTCTTCAAAAAAGTGAAAAGACATTTGAAGTGATTTGTTTTTAATTTTGTGGTTTGTTTTTTTTGTATACAGTTTATCCACGTATATAGTCAAGGGCACTTAACTGTTCAATTTTTTAATTGAAAAGGAAAATTGTATAGCTGAAAGCCAAATGCACATTCTAAAACACAAAATCAGTGTAGAACATTGAATTAGAGGGTGGCAGATTATTAGATTCTTTAGATATACCATCCACACTTTTAGATATACATCTGATATTTTAGCCGGTTGATGATATGAAAGGATATTATTTATTTTTTTTTTTTGTAAAGATTGGCGCCTGAGCTAACATCTGTTGCCAGTCTTTTTTTTTTTTCTTCTTCTTCTTCTTCTTCTTCTCCCCAAAGCCCCTCAGTACATAGTTGTATATTCTAGTTGTGGGTCCTTCTAGTTTTGCTGTGTGGAAGGTCACTTCAGCGTGGCCTGATGAGTGGTGCTAGGTCTGTGCCCAGGATCCAAACCCATGAAATCCTGGGCTGCCGAAGCAGAGCATACAAACTTAATCACTTGGTCACGGGGCCAGCCCCAGGATATTATTTCTTAAGTAAAATTTCTGAGAACTTATGAGTTGAGCTGAATCTATTAAAAAATGGTTGATTCCGGGGGCTGGCCCCGTGCCTGAGTGGTTGGGTTTGCGCGCTCTGCTGCAGGCGGCCCAGTGTTTCATTGATTCGGGTCCTGGGTGCGGACATGGCACTGCTCGTCGGGCCACGCTGAGGCGGTGTCCCACGTGCCACAACTATAGGGACCCACGACAAAGAGTATGCAACTATGTACTGGGGGGCTTTGGGGAGAAAAAGGAAAAAAAAATGGTTGAATCCAAAATTTTAACTTCTGTAATTATATAAATAACGATCATTAATAGGTCGCTTAGATAGAAATGCAGTCATGTGCTGCATAATGCTATTTTGGTCAACAACAAACCACATTTTGGCTAGTGGTCCCATGAGATTAGTACCATATAGCCTAGGTGTGTAGTAGGCTATACCAGCTAGGTTTGTTTAAGTGAGCTCTGTGATATTGGCACAACAAAATTGCCTGATGACACGTTTCTCAGAATGTATCCCCGTTGTTAAGCGACGCATGACTATATTGTTCATTAGGAAGTTTCAATATCTATTTGTTAGATAGAAATGGATCTTTTATCATTGAAGCATAAAAATACAATAAATAAGTACATTTAAAATTTTTCTTTTAATTGAGCCATAAGTTTTCAGTACCAAATTATATAAGACTTTGTAATTAACATTTTATAGTCTAAAGCTGTGAGGGGAAAAGTGTTTAGAGGTTACTTAAAAAACACTGTGTGCTTCACCCACAGCCTCCACTCCTATCCCTCAAGACTAGTAAGGATTTTCAAAGGCACCAAATCTTTGAACATGGCTGGTTTTATGACAAAAATCTATCCCACAGGGACATTATTTGGGAATACAATTTAAATTTTCATATCAGCTCTTACCTTAGTAGATGTATTTTTGGATCATTACATAAAAATATTGAGTAATTTGAAAACTTTTTATTTTGTATTCAGTATGGAGATTTATTCCCAGAGAGAGGTTTTTCTGATGCAAAATTGGAATGCTTGTGTAGTCACAACAGCTGTCCCCACACCATGTGGTATCTTCCATTACTTTACTGTAGAGATGGATTTTTGGCCCAGTGTCTCAGTAATATTGGACACACATGGTTTTAAGTGGCTAAGCAGTATGCTTATGCATTCATTTGACTTTCACAGCTACAGTTGGCTCCAGATTAGAACAAGGAGAATACATTCACACCACGGCCACCCTCATGGCTGCTGTAGTAGCTGGATCACAGTAGGCTCTTGCTTCTAAAGACATGACTAACCATTGCTGAGGAATTACACATTCACCAAAGCGCCTTACAGCGGTAGGAAAGAGAATAATGAATTGCTAAAAGGAGTCTGTCAAAGATTTCAGATTATGGTCCTAGTTATTATCGATCTAGTTTTTTTTTAATATTAATAAAAATCATGGCTATGAAATAACTATGAAACTAAAAGGAAAGATCCTCATAGCGGATGATTTTTCAGGACATCCAAACATTTGATTTAAAATTTCTCCTTCCCAGAAAAAAAATGAAACTGTACTTTTAGACTCATCTTACTAAGAAGGAATTAAAATCAGATTGATTTTTAATGCCCATTGTTCATATATGCAGCATATTTGGAAAGGCAATCTATTAAAAATAGAAATTCAAGAATTAGTTTACTATGTGAAACAATGGTTTATATTATTGACATTTTAGAAATTTTGTTTGCCCCAAAAATGTTTGTTATAATAAATGCAGAAATAAGATGATTTGATATAATGTGAATTTGTATTGATACACTATATATTTGACTACTATATCTCTGTGCGGTGTCAACTTAATCCTCTTCACAGTATGACTTTGTACTATAAGCTTATATTTAAATTCTTCTTAACTCTTTTGCATTTCTGAAGCCAATTGGTATAGTTATTAAAGTTTCAGCTTTTTAGCAATAAAAATATAATTTCCTTGAAAATCCAATTATGTCCCTTTAAATAATATCTGAATACTAATACTTTTTCCCCTAAATAAAGTAAAAACAAGCATAAAGAAAGGAAGAAAAAACCTTTAGTGTAAATTTTTAAATTATCTGATATGGAGAATTAGATTTCTGATATTCATTAAATATCAAAGAAATCCCGACCATGCCCAGTGTGGGCTCCGTCTTTACAGAGGAGAATTTATGCGTGTATCCTACGGGTTGTACTGATGAATATGTTCGAGGCTTTCAGCTTTTAGTGGATACAAAACAGAATGATTGATAAAATCCTGCCTGCTATTGGCTATTATTTACTGACTCTTAAGTGGCAGGTTGTATTTATGCCAATTTATCTGCTTCAGGGAACATTCTTGATAGCAGAACAAAGTGAATAAAAGTAGTTTGCTTTGCAAATGAATGCAAATGGGAGAGCCTTTCGGAAAGCCCTTTAACTGGGGCAGTGCACTTTGATTATGAGTGAAGCTGCCATTTGGACATGGTGAAAAGAGCACGCTTGAACCATTGATTGGGGGAGACAGTAAAAAGTCAGGAAGGGCCCCGTTAAGCTCGCAGTGAGGCAGGCGGATGTCAGTGTGGTTAGAGCACAGTGGGAGAATGACAGGGAGGATTAGTGTCAGGGAGAAGCTTTGCTGTAGCTGTGGAGATAGTCCCTGGGGTCACTCACCTCTGACTGTTGTTCTGTGCTGATGGTTCTGTAATGCAAACGGCCTGATGTATGCCTGTTCATTATCGGAAATGGTGATTAGAAAAGGTATTTGTCTCAAAGGTTTCCTTCTTTCGTTCTTTTTTTCTTTCTTTTTAATTAAAGGAAAATAAGGTGGGCTTCCTCCATCTCTGCTGACTCCTAGAGCATTGTTTCATACCAGGGTGCTTGCTGCCTCTGGTAGGACTAGTTTAGTGCTAGATTGTAATGTAGCATAATTGCAACACGGTTATTTGTTATTTGATAATAGTTTCTTTTGCTTTGCTCTGCCTTGGGTTTGACCAAGTGGCAGTGCTGAATAAAAGGCAGAGAATATGCTTGCTTTTAGAATGTTTGCTTTTGCAAAAAAGATGTTATAATCTGTGACGTATTTTATTATCCAATTTAATCATTTGATCAACTTTAGAATCTATTTCCCTTCTCAGAACTGAAACATTGCTTTGCATGGACTTGATGGTTTAAGTCTTGGTCGCAAGAGTTTCTAATTTTATTTCTATTTACAGGTTTTAATAAGGCTAGCATTTGATAAGTTAAACTTCTTGAAAATACGTGATGTTTAGAATTAGATATTGTTAGGTAGAATGAATAAGAAATCTATCTTTGTCTCAGTTCTGATTCTAAATCAGTACATTTACTTGTTCGTACTTTCATTTATGCTTGTAAGGCTTTTTGCTTTCTTTAAAATATAATTCTTCTTAAAACTTTGACTTTTTATAGTAATCTTTATGAGGCATTTGTGAGCAGCAGTGACACAATGCATTTCGTAGGCTTTGAGGATGGTTCCTCACTTTAATGCAAAACTGAATTTTTTTTTCTTTAATGTCCTCAAAAGCCTGGCCTCACAACATTTCTGCCTTCTTATTTAGTATACATGGGAAAACTTAAAAGGCTGCTGGAGCTTTGCATTCTAATGTTAAATATGCAGCTCAAACCTTTATCCAAACTGTCAGATACATTTTAATATTGTTTTTGCAGAAAGCATATTGCCAATAGTTTGTTTCACAGGCTCATTCAATGTTTTAGCAAAATTCCCTAAATTATCTTTTTTTTTCTTTAATGTTTTTCAGGCACCTGAATGGACAGAAGAGGACCTCAGCCAGCTGACAAGAAGTATGGTTAAGTTCCCAGGAGGGACCCCAGGTCGATGGGAAAAGATTGCCCATGAATTGGGTCGATCGGTGACAGATGTGAGTTCCCTCAGATTTGCATTGTATGGAGGGTGACAAACCAGAACAAGCCAACTCTGTGGAAGGCAGACATAGATGCCTCCGACATTATCTTTGGAGAAAGGCTGCAATCCGTTTAGGACCTGGAAGTGAACCATTAATGAAATAAGTAAGAAGCAGATGTCGGCCAGTCCCCTGGTCCACAATTAACAGCTGTGTGAGGAATTCTAGTGTTTAGAGACTTAAGCTACTGTAACCAAGTCACATAAAAACAATGCTAGTTTTTGTGTTTAGAGTGACCCCTTTGGAAATAGTTCTCAGGCTGATCAGAATTAGAGAAGTTATATTTCAGCTGGATCTTTTTAGCGTTGAAGTAGTTTGCTATTGGTATTTAGACAGGTGGTTTGCATTGATTAAATGAGCAATACTCCTATAATGTTTGTGTTTTTATTTCAAGGATGATGCCTATCGTCCATTTTGACAAGTTCTTTAACCAAAAAAAATATATATATATATATACGCAACAGACACACACACACACAATCACACGTGTGATTGTGTGTGTGTGTGGTTGTGTGTACATGACTGGCCATACCTAATGCTTAAAAGACACGGTGTTTACCTGGAAAGTTTTAGATTTCATACTTTGGGTGCTTTTATTCAGGAAATTTAGGGCGGAGAATTACAGAAGCACCCACCACAGCGCCTGACATGGACTAAATACTCGGTAAATGTTTACTTGAAGGTGATGAAATCTTTATTTTCCTCAACGTGATCCTTATTCTCATAGATGATGGGAAATATTCTTTACTAAACAAATTCTTTACCAAATTTACCTTAAATAAATCTTATAGATCTAAAATATTGAAGGGGTTACTAAAAGCAAAGATTCAAATGTCCTCTTCAATTCTGTCAGGATACCTTTGGGTCTTTTTGGGTAATGAACAATTTTAAAACCCTGCAAAATGGTTAATGAACACAACTTCCAAAAAAGAAAAAAAACAACTTGTTACATACATGCTATAAGTTATTTTTCATAGTGAACTTCCACTTTTTTAGGAACAAACTAATAAAACATATTGTTGTCAATTTTTTTTTCCTTTTTCGGGGGAGATAGCAGCTGCTTGAGAATTTTAAATTCTTTATATGAATGTTTTTACTACCACATAGGTCTTTTTTCAAGCACATTTAAAAGATTACTATTTAAATTTTTGTAAGATGTTTTGCATTATTTTGGCTTCAGAGTTAATGTCTGATCATGTGGAAAAATAGCTTTCATATCTTGTAACAAATTTTTTTTTTTTGCTGTGTTTTGTGAGGAGACCAATTATCTTAGGTGACTGGAGATCCATAAGGATACCCATTCTTCTGCTAAGAATGTTACTGGGGTGTACGTTTTATTATCTTGTTTCAAGGTTGTTTGTAAAAGATAAGTTAATAATGCCTTATAAGTAAATACCTGCCCAAATTAAAGATATTCCAAGGTTACTGATGTTTTAAAAGTACTATGACCCTCTAATTATTCAACTACTGTTAATATAACGATTAACAAAAATTACTAAAGTAATTTTTAGAAAGTTATAAAACAAACATTGGCATAAAAGAGCCCCAGAACTTTTAGTTCAATTGCCTAAGGAGAAAGAATAGATCGCTAATTTAGTGACTCCTTTGAGACCGCACTGCCATTAATTTTTTAAGTAATATTTCTATGAGACCTTACAGTTAATAGTGCCAAAACCAGATGGGGAATGGAGTAGAGCGATATTTTAAATTAGTTTGTTGTCATTAAAATCTGGCTAAATTTTTATCTATATTTTTAAGAGGAGAGAGGTGAAAGTTGAAATGCTAAGAACATATGTGATATGACCAACGGCGCCTGGAGGTGGGTAGTTAGTGTCACAGATCTGGGAAATCCATACGCACCTTACAAGAGCAGTCTTAGCGCAGTCCTGGTGTGGGCAAAGACGTCTTTCCAAACTTGGGCAAATTCATCCCATATGTTTCCATTTTTCTTCTTCTAGACTCACCCAAGGGAGAATGATTCCATGTCTGTAAGAGATGTTTTTTTATCATGGAATTAGCAAACATAACTTTTTTTTTTTTTAGAGATTTTATTTTTTCCTTTTTCTCCCCAAAGCCCCCCGGTACATAGTTGTATGTTCTTCGTTGTGGGTCCTTCTAGTTGTGGCATGTGGGACGCTGCCTCAGCGTGGTTTGATGAGCAGTGCCATGTCCGCGCCCAGGATTCGAACCAACGCAACACTGGGCCGCCTGCAGCGGAGCGCGCAAACTTAACCACTCGGCCACGGGGTCAGCCCAAACATAACTTTTTGAGATTTTCTTTTTCCTCCAAGTATTAGGTTCTATTTTCATAATACCAAAAGTACCTTGGGAATAAATATTTAATAAACCTAAACATTTTTGGCACCAAAAATGCCACTGTAACTTTTCTTCTCTGTCAGTATATATATAGACTCACACTGTATTTTCGTATTGTGAGCATCATCTCCGTAGCTGGACTATACGTTCCATCTTAGTAACTACACACACACACACACAAACACACACTCTCTCTCTCACACACACTCTCTCACACACACTCACTCTAAATCACTCTCTCTAAAAGAGAACAGGTGTCTGAAGCTTCCCATAACTCATTTAAGTGAACACACAGTGAATTACATTGAAGCAGCTGAAATGGGGTTGCTAATACAGTTCCTCTGGTGGAATGTTGTCAAAGTTTACCACACTCCGGAAGATCACTTATACTTCATTTTGGCTTGTGGTGTTAATTAGATTTGTTTTCATTAAGTGTTTGATTATGAAAAAGCAACCAAGTTCGGTTTGCTGTCATTGGAACCTCCGCACGCTGACCTGATCGCCTGGGCCAGTTCCCCCAGCTCTGCACATCTGTTCTTTGACCCGTTTTCCTTGCTAAATTTGTAGCTTTAGGCTTAGTTCTCTTTCCTTCGAGAAACAATTGACCTTTTTTGGGGAGGGGTGAGAGTGTGCCTGTGTTGGGATCTATGTTATTTATTCAGGTTGACAGATTATAATAAAAATCCTATTTTATTCCTCAATTAAGAAAGGTGCTGTCATAATTAACAAGTTGAATTACTAAATTCTCCTCTGGATAAGTACAAGCAATGTTATTAGCTTTGCAAAAGATTAATGCAAACTATATTTTAACTCAGATATACCTAAACTGTAAGACTTACTTTATTATAGATTAAATATTTTAAATGTTACTATATGCCTTTCAGCAAATAATTTTGGTACCCACAAAAGACACTCAAATTGTAAAAACAACAGAGGAAACAAAAACTGTCTGGCGTGTAAAACCAACTTTAATGTGATTATTAACTGCAGGTTTTCTGAATTAAGGTCAGGGAGCCTCAGATTTCTGGCTTGTGAAGTAATATCATTCTCTGGCCTGAAAGGATGTAAACTGATTCTGCTTCTCTCCGTGGCCACTAATCCCTTGCATTCTGGTTGTGATAACAGACTGATTGGAGATTTTCTGCCTGTTTGGAAAAGGCCCAGGTAGGCAGCAAAACAAAAGACAGGTGGGCAGATTTAGACAGACTTGTGTAATTAGCTTAGTGCCACAGTGAGAGGTAAGAGGTGTGGAGTTAGATGAGCGCCCCCGTATGCGAATGAAAAAGTGGGGAAAGATAATAAAATTCCCAATTTTGTTTTATGTTGCTACAACTAGAGAGCAGATAGAGGAGATACCTTTTGGGGGAAATTTATGTTATTGTGGCAGTTGTTTCAGAAATCTGTAAGTGGACTCTTCAATGGAAAATAAACTTTATGGTTTATCAGGGAACTAAATATATAGCAATCATTTGTGCAAATATGTTATTGCTATTACTTTTAGAGTCAGACTAGTCCTACACAATTATAAGATGACGGGGATTATCCTCTTCATTTTCTCTCTTCATCCTCACCGCCCTCTGAACCAGCCTCCTGCGTTGGCCGTTCTCTTGCTCTGAGCTTGACCCCAAACTCCTCACCCTCCAGACCTCTAAAGATATCCCAGTTTTAGAGAGGAATGGGGCCTTCATCCCCTTCTTGCTAGATGAGTCACCAGATAATCTAATAACCAATTTTCAATCTGATGTTAATAGATAATAATCACTTAATGTGTTACCAAATCTCTCTCTCTCTCTCTCTGTCTCTCTCTCTCTCTCTCTCTCTCTCTCTCTCTCTCACACACACACACACACACACACACACACACTTTTATTTTAATAGAAGCCTTCAGGTTCTCATTCAAGAAAAGAATGATTGATGTAAGAATTTCAGGCAGTGTGATTGCCTGTCCGAAGGAAGGAGAAGGCAGAATGTCATTCTGAGGTTGTAGGACCTTTTGGTGTCCATCAAAGAAAACTACGTAATTAATTCCTAATCTGTGCATTGGCCTGGTTAGAGCTTTGCTGCATATTCTATGATTTCTGGGCCACAGGTTTGTAGATTTGCATTCCATGTCATCATTTCTATTTCAGCAGTGAGCAAAATCACACATAGGACAGCATTATAAATTACATATTGACTACCTAAGAATAACGTTGCAAAAATCAGTTAAGAGATCAAACTGACAATTTTATTTTTAACTGTTTTAAGTGATATTGAGTATTCCATCATTCATTCTCATAGTATTTTACATCTTTCGAAACATTTAAACATACATGTTTAACTTGATCTTCACAACAGCATTGGGAGGTAGATAAGCAACCATTATTTATCCCTATTTTACAGTTGAGTAAACTGCTGCTAAGATATTTGTCCAAGGCGACACAACTATTGGTGGAGTGGAGACACCACCAGCTATTTTTACTCCTCATCTGGTATGTTCTTATCACTACTTAATGCTGTTGTATTGCTGTGTGTATGAAAAACCCTTTGACTGTGTCTAGAGACTTTTATCATTAGACCTTTTTTGGTAAAAGTCTATTTTCGAAAACAAAGAAAGAAACTTTAAAAAATACACTGAAGTAAAATTTTTTTTCTGATCAATC